CAGGACCAGACTCACGGCTACGACGAATGGCAAGCCTCGTAAGCAAAAATACCGAATACATCGATCCGTTAGAACTCCCCCTTGGGAGCAACTAGCGGACTGGCAGACAGCCCTCGCCAGGGTCGGCTACGAACCTAACAAGACCAAAGAAGAACAGGCCCTCTCCTTTGCAGGCAGGGTGGCAACTTTCTCCAAGCGGGATATTGTTGTCTATACTGACGGGTCCCAGATGTCGGACGGCAGCAGCACCTCCGCCGGAGCAGGCTGGGTAGGGTACCAAGCTACACGGCAGATCTTCCGCGGATCCGAACCACTCGGGTCCCAAACTGAGGTGTATGACGCGGAGGCACATGCTGCGTATCACGGCCTGATGGAAGCCACCCGGGCTCCTACGGCTCGTATGGCAGATAACGTCCACATCTGCCTCGACAACCTCGCAGTCGCGGCTAGACTATACTCCCAGAGCACAGGAAGCAGCCAGGCTAGATTTAGGGCCTTCAATAGGCTCTCTTCCTCCTGGACTCGGAGACAAAGAGAGAGCTGGACAACCCCCGGCAGGGTTTATGTTTGGTGGTGCCCTGGGCACACGGGAGTACCAGGAAATGAAGAAGCGGATGCTCTAGCCAAGGAAGCCTGCAAACTAATCCCAAAATCACAACCACAGCCCTCATTAGCGCACCTAGAAAGGCAAGCTAAAGCAGCTGCCTTCCAAGCCTTTGCCAGAAAATGGCTGTCCCAATGCCCTCGGCAATATGCCGACCTCGAGATAATTCTTCACCCCAAGCCGCCCGAACTCCGCCTCCCTCGGCACTTACTAGGAAGGCTATACGCAGCAAGATCCCATCATGGAGACTTTGCAGCATACCACGAGAGATTCGCTCATCAAGATGCGTTGCTCAACTGCAGCTGTGGGAAACCCAAGACACCAGTCCATTTCTACTTCTGCAAGCGTGGACGCAAGGCTACACCGCGCTACCTCCGCCAACGTATGGCTAAAGCAAGTATTGATTTCTTGTTAGGTTCTGCTAAGGGAGCCTCTCTTCTATGCGAATGGATAGAGGAGACCAATTTCTTTTCCGAAATTTGCCCGAGTCATTGAACAGGAACGTTAGGTGAAGACGGTAGCCTGTAATATAGTTTAGATTAGTATAGACCATGTCGGCATTGCGCCCGGCACGTCCTTTTGTTACCAGACGTTAAATACATCATCATCATCATCATCATCAATGAGCGCTCATGCCGAACAATGAGCGCTCACCCGATCAGAGGAACTGATCATTGACAAGGGATATGTTCAGGACCAGGACTTGTATATAGGATGGACTCGAGCCGGACTCTAGGACAGACTTTCCATAGCTCTTCAGCAATTAACTTCGTATCAGATCTTATGATCGCTTTCAGCTATCTTTCCTGAGAACCTCTTTGATAAGACTACGATTGATCACCGCAGCCTTCCCTTACCTTATGTCACGAGTTATGGCACGCAGCAATGGGCATATGAAGTGGGTTAAAGTGGCTTGAAGTAACCCATCTAGAATGAGCACATGAGAGCAGTCTATATACTAAGAGAGTGTGATATCCACGTGAGAAAGCACGTGGCAAGATGCTTGACAAGTGCTGATACCATTCCTGTTTCGTGACACCTTACGACTTACAGACATAGCTTCCCTGAAGCTATCCACGACTACGATTACTGTTACCAGTTCCGCAGCCTCAACTTCTGCAAACATACCTCACTACGACTAGCTGGCCGTAACAGCAAAGCACTTTCAGAAGGCGTCTCCGCCAACTCTAGATCGAACTAAATGGTGTGATCATGCTAGCGAGGCAAGTTTCTGCTCATATGCCCAGTGTTCCTGACGGCACGGGCATAATGCCAACGAAAAAAACAGCCGACTAACACCAAGACAGCATCTTCAAGCGATTGTCTTGCGAGTCTAATCATCCTTTACGCGTTAAGTCAGCCCTAAAGATTAATCGACCGCATAATCTGCCCATCGATCGTTCAGGGTCGATGAACGACTTGTTGGAGCTCGTGCCACGACAACTTCAAACTGGGAAGAAGTTCGTCCAATCGATATCAGACCAAAGCTCCTACAGGACTCAGACGTCACTCTGGCCTTGGCTGTTGCGCCTGATGTCAGGTTTCGATTTCAAGGCTGCGAATATTGACTATGTACGGACGAGATCCCAATATGGTGGTTTTCGCCTTGCTTCATCCAACGGCTCTCAATCCGTAATGCAACAGATACGCTGGAATTTACTCGAGTAGCAGCTCCCTGGTTGATACCAAGTTCGCGTTGGCCTCGAGATGAGCAACAAGATTTCTTCTACCAGAGTGATTTTCTTGCGTGCCCTAATTCCTGCTTTCCTAATTGTTGGTTCACGGGGTCGTATACGACAGATAGTGGTAGCAATTATCACTCTTCTGTTGGTGATCCTATTGCTTGTTCTTCTTGTTGTTCTATCTTACATTGTAGGCAGGAGTCGGTCGAAGTAGGTAGTGACGGCCTGGGTGGTTGCTCCACCTTTATCCGGCCGTGATGACTAAGCCAGTTGTCCCACTTCGCCCAGGGCAGGTGCCAGCCAGCCCATGGTACCTGCCTATTACTCCTTATCAGCCTTTGCTGTTCCAACACTAATTCTTTGGCCGTACCTGCCGTGGGTACTGTTCCTCCAACCTGTGGAAAAGACCTACTCAATTCGAATTCTAAGCTATGATCCGCTGATGATATATGTTGTTGGGTTTCTTTCGTGGGCAGAAACAATCCACCTCATCCATCTTGGGCAAGATCTTCCCTCTTCTTCAAGTCTCTTGCGCTAACGTGTCCGTCGTAGAAACCCGCTGTTTGAGAGATCAACGGTCTGCGTTGACGGCGAACAAGAAATCGACGAGGATCGAACCAGCAGTACCGCTTATATTCCCGACGAAGACATTATCGTTCAGCGGATCATCAGACGCGCCTCCGAAATCCAAGGCTACACAGACGGGGATCACCATGAATCGCTACAACTGACGCGATATGGCGCCGGCCAGCTCTTCCGTCCCCATGTGGATCCTCTCGAGGACAGTAGCAATGAGACATCAACACATCGACTGACAACAATTTTCGCAATCGTCGAAGCGACGTGCAATAGGTGTGGGACTCAATTCCCAAATCTTCACATCAACTGGACAATGGAGGATCCAAGCTGGTGTCAATATGTAGAGTGCGAAGACACCGAGCGCCTCACAGTCAAGGCTGTCCCCGGCAACGCGTTGTTCTGGAAGAGCTGGACGAACGCGAGGAGGCTTGATCCCAGGATACTACACGCTGGCTTACCTCCCGAAAGCGGTATCAAGACTGGTCTTAATATCTGGACTCCTGGATAGATACACCTTGTCCCTGTAATTATTTTTCTTCACTTGCTTAGCTCTATGACACTTTACACCTGACACAACATGAGATGCAATGTCATGTTTGAGAAACCATGATTGTATGTACAAGATTACATGATTCTGAACTCAACAATCCAGTCCTCCTGGGCTCAGTCAAACTTAGGTGCATTGGGAGTAGTGCTGGTTCAATACTGTGCAGGTCGATCCAGAAGCACAAACAGTCCCACCAGTCCATCCTTGTCCTCCACACTGACCGTACTTGGGTACAGTCCCAGTACCACCACTCGCGGCTGTTGTCGTCGTCGTTCCGGCTGTAGTAGTAGTAAAAGGTGCCGCAGCAGTAGTAGTCGTCCTCAACGTAGTCGGGCTGCTGCCGCCGCTTCCTCCGGGCAAGGTCGCGCTCGACGTGGCGGTGATGCGGGCAGTACTCTGAGCAACGGTCGAAGCAAGCCCTGAGACCAGGGTCGGGCCGGGAACAGGGTAGACAATTGGGCTCGTGTAGAGGTTGAAGAGGATGCCCGGGTCGTCGGACTTGTACAGCGCCGTGCCCTTTACGCCGGCGGGGGCCAGGGAACCTCCCCCCGTGACCTGGAGGTTGAAGCACTGCGGGTATGCCTGGGCACCGTTGACGTTACCGCCAGAGTGAAGAGCGATGATCTCATGGCGGAGGACGTAGTTTCCAGGTGCGAGCGTTGACGGGATCTGGACGTTCCAGGTGAAGTTGTTGGCCATGAGGACGTCGTCAGCCCACTTGCCGTTCGTGAGGGACATATCAATCAGACCACCAGCGTCAATTTTGAAGAAGTTGAGGGTTGTCTTGTCGACTGATTCGCAGTCGCCGGTACACTTGGCAAGGTAGTCGATCACCGGACCCTTGTGTGACTCTGGCCATGTGTTCCAGACGAGCTGGATGTTGGTGCCAGCAGCGACGGTGGCGTGTCCGCCAGCCGGGCTTCCATTCTTGTGGCAGATGATATCGCCTGTACCGAAGTTGACAGGCTCGACGAAACCGTTATCGGGGGCATCGATCTTCCAGCCTACTACGGGACTTGTTGGGGGCGAGTACGTGAATGTAGGAGAGTCCCAGCCGCGGTAAGCGACGCCATTAGCAACGAGCCAATCCACGTGGCCATGAGCCGCGACAGTGGCCGCCAAGGCGAGGAGAATAGAAGAAGGAAGAATATTGCCCATGGTTACGACGGCTCTGTAGATTGCTTGCGTTTCCAGGAGTCTGGATGATGAGCGCTATCTAGTTCAGGCAGAATGCATTTCAAACAGACGAGGAGTGCGCCATATATAGTGCTGCATAGGTAGTCACAGATGGCATGTCGACAGCGTCGGAATCACGGCATTCAATATTAATTAACTGGCACGCGAGCCAAGGTCTCCAGTTGACGGTGAGGCCCAGAATCAGACATCGTGCCATCGTGTAGTCACACTGACACGTTGGCGTAGCATACTAGGCACAACTCCCGAGTCAAGAATTAGACGAGAACCCCGGAGAACTTGATTCTTCTCCGCGTCTCTATGGTCTCCCACATTCCCCCTTGCTTCAAAACGCGGCAGGCACCTGTCACGAACACATCAAGAGGGGGTGCCATGAAGGAGTGCATTCATCCGTAATGCCTGAATTGGACGCTTGGTATAGTAATACCCACAACAACATGACTTGGTTGGGAGCTCACAAGGCGCTTGTATGGTCGATGTGCCGGAGGGAGGATATGTGTGGCCCTGGAACGTCGGTAGCGACGAGGCGCCATCGGAAAAGAAAACTGCAGAATTAGGAAATCTCGGTCGGCTGCCACCGAGAAAATGTGACGGCGCACAGGAGGGTCGGGGTTGCATCGGAGCACCGGAGTGGGGAAAATGTGATGATTGGTTGGTCAAGGGAGAAAATGTGATTTACCTCGACGTCCCTTACACAGCATGTTGGAATCAGAGAGGAAGGTAGGATTGATGTCGTGAAGGCTTTACTAAGTCTTAAGTATTAGATGGTTTCGGTTAGGACTCTGTGGTGTTTTTTCATCTTGCTTTGAGTTTCCTATAACAGCATTTTGCCCAGCATAGAACTCCAACTGTTTTTATTGGACAGGACCCGTCAGATGACTTACCAGCGCTTCCCAGCTAGTTCATTTTGAACGAGTCTGTAGGAATTGAAGTTCTGCGCTGTAATGCCGGAACGGAAGCTCACTCGGTCTTCCCGTACCAAATTTTTCGGGCCAAGTCGCCTAGAACATAGCCTGCGATAACGGTGGAATTTCGAAGCCAGAACCCTTTCACTTATGGCAACCCCCAATGTGGGCTGAAATAACATCAAGCAATAGCGGCTGATGATGCGAAGAGTATACAAAACAAAATCTGAGGTAGACTCCTAAAAGCCTGGCCTTTCATAATCTAAAGGCGTTGAAGTTCTCATCTTACATCAACCTTGAGGATTGCGTTCTCTCTTACTCAGACAATGAGTCTCGTTGACAGCCGTCGCCTTCCTGACCTAGCACCAAGTTCCCGAGCAAGTTCTCGCCCCCAAAATGAGGAGTTATCATTGGTTTGCAGCATCTTTAGGCTTTAGCAAGAAATAAATTCTCTGTTCTCATGAGCCATTGCCGACGTCATGTAGTTGGATCTCACAGGCCCAAAATTGAAATCTAATCTGTTTGATCCGTTCATGAAATCTGGAACTCGAAATTTGTGATGGGTTGGTTCACGAGAGCTCAATAGATCGAGCGACAGGTAGTTACGTCACTTGAGGTCCCCGAAATGTAACTTGGTCGCACTCATCAAGAATTTGTACATGTAAAGCTCCGCGGCTGCTGTCACTACCAGGCCGTGTTGGGAGATAAGAAAGCCCGTTTCGAAGAAATACCTACCTTTAGTACACGAACACACAACTCCATCACATTCTGTCTGTGCCAATTCGTGAAATCGTTTCATCGAACGATTGAGAGATGTCTTTTCTGGAATTTCCGGGTTAGTGCGCTTTCAGTGCTTATGTTCTCATTTATGTGTGCACTTTCTCAGACGCAGGTAGAATTTACTTGCAAAGCATCCGTAGGCACCCGCTCCGGGTTGCCAAGGTCCTAAGCAAACTGGATCTTAGTTAATTGATGGAATCTTCAGAGACGACAGAGATTAAACATTCAAGGAATTAAGTCTGAAGGTACTAAAAGAAGAACCAAAGACACCGCTTCGATTAATACAAGCGCCGTATGAGTACATGTGTCACCAAAGTCGCCTCTAGTGAGGAGACTGTGATATGGAAGCTGGCTCCACGGTGTCAAGATATCTCATACTTGCGGCTACAATATGATTTCGAGTCTCAATTTCTCTCTTGATGGTTCATATGACGCTTGATCAAGGTATCTCCACTTCATGATGCTTCTCAAGAACTGTCCTAGTCTCCTCCAGCCGGGACCCATGAGTTGTGTTTGACCATATGCGCATGCATTCATCTGCCTGAATCATAAATAGCGCCGAGAATCTTATGTGAGATTCGTGAGTCCGTCATGATATTTATGAATGAGTGAGGGAGTCATAAAACACCGCACATTTCCCTCCTGAACCTCTCCTGAACGGCGATCGGGATGACTCATGACGTAAGGTGCGGATAGAGGCAGAAAAACTCCATTAAACTCAATTCTAGATCATTTCTAGAAGCATCGTGACTAATTGGCAAATCCCATTTTTGATTGAAGATCCGGGACAGCGCACCGAAATAGGCCTTGAAACTAACGACGTGTCCTGAGGTTGCAGTGCTAGACCCCTGTCAGGGGGCGGTTTGTCACCGTGAGACAAATTAGAGTGGTATGAGCGGTCCCTGCATCAATGCGATCTCCGGGCCAATTTTGTTTACTTCACGTGATCTGCGGTGGGGGATTTCCTCCCCCCTTTGGCTCTGTGTTGGAATTCCGATTTCGAAAGAATTGAACACGACAACCTTACCTTGTTCTCCCAAAAGGAAGGGGTCAAGCAAGTCCGGAAACACACGATGTCGAGCAAACATGAACGGAACACCGGCGAGTGGAAGGGCCCGCGGCGGCTTCCCTCCGTCAGGGAGAAGCTGTCGGGCTTCGTTCGGCGCGGCCGGGAAAAAGCAAAGAAGACAACGTTGTCTGTCTTGGGCGAGTCACGACAGGAGCGGCCGTCCCTTGACGAGAGCATGAAGGCCTTGCCGCGGGTCCAGGTGTCGGATTTCGGGACTTCAAGTCTCGAGATTGACCTGCAGTCCCTCGAGGCTTTCCGCATTGCGCCGTCGCAGCCCGCGAGGGGAGCAGAACAGGCGAGGCAAGTCAAGAAGACTTCTTCGCGGACCTCGACAATCACGCCCATTGCCGACATGTTTGCCAGGAAGGCGACGACAGCTGCGCTCTCCACGGTTGACATGAGATCACTCAACAAATCCTCGCCATCACTACTCACATCAGTCGCCAGCAGCAAGCCTGCCGAAGCACGACGCCCTGGCCAAGCTCCCTCCATGTCGTCGAGGGCGGCAGCTGCACCAAGCACCGCATCAAGCGTGGTAATCGTCAACAGCAGCTCAACCGGCCAACCTCAATCACACCCCTCGAAGCCATGGCCACCACCAGAGACTCCTCGTGCAGCTGCAGCACCAATTCGCACCCAATTTCCTACGGCATCAACATCGAATTCGGACCAGCCCAACAAACTGCCGCTTCGCGAACCGCCACGACGCGCCGCCTTCGTGCCGGCCTACGTCCTGTCACGGGCCGCCCCTATCGTCACGCCAGCAGAGCCTGTCATTAGGCCCCACCACCAAAATGCCGACGCCGTTGCCAGGCAGCAACGGCTGCAGCACAACACGGAAAAGCGCCACTCGAATCCCACAGGAATGCCCTCGTCGTCAACGACAACTGCGACCGCTCCAGCGCCGAACAAGCTCCTCCTCGCAGAAATCGTCAATACAGACCGGAGACGGTCTTGGCAACCGGCGCCGACATCGGTCCCCTCAGCATCGGGAACACCCACATCGTCCGGCCCACCATCCGCATCCGCCCCGTGGCGCGGTCGCGACCTCGATGGCAGCAGCACCAAGAGAGCATCGTCGCGTATCGCCTCTGACCGCCTCGCCTGGATCCGCGAGCTCGAGGAGGGCAAGAAGAAGAAGTCGACCATCAATGGCGATCTCCCCGTCCTCAGGAACATGCAGGGCAGTGTGGCGGACAAGCTGGCCAAGTTTGAGCAGCAGAAGCAGCAGCAGCAAATGCAGCAGCAGGTCCCGCTCACCAGGTCCAACTCGACCAGGAGCCGTATCTCGTCCGTCGCCGACACTACCTTCTCCTCGTACAACGGCCCGGCCACCGCCCGATCGTCGCTCGATACCTGCCGCACGTCCTCTGTTTTCTCGCACTACGATGACTCGTTCCGCGAGAAGATGGAGATTATCACGGGAGCTACCAACAAAACGGCCGACGAGGAGAATGAAGAGAAGCCTGCGCTGAACAAGGTCACGTCTACTTTCGTGTCAATCGAAAAGAAGGAGCCCATCGCGGCACCTGTCGACCAGACTGCGGATGACGAAGGCACAGAGAAGCCGGCCCTTGAAGACGTCGCGCCTGCCTCGCCGACAGTGGAGAAGATTGAGCCCACCACAGCCGATGCACCTATCCCGGCGGAAGTTGAGATTGAAGCGAAGCCTGCTCTGATCGAGGTCCCGACTATTTCTGTGTCATCGGAGACCGAGAAGATGGAGCCCACCACGGGTGATGCTCCCGCTCCGGCGGATGTCCCTCTTCCGGAGGATGTTGAGGTCGAGGAGAAGCCCACCCTGGAGGAAATCCCGTCAATCTCTGTCTCAGCGGAGAAGATGAAGCCCATCGCGATTGATGCGGATCTTGCGGCGGATGAGGCAGCCGAGGAGAAGCCCACTGTGGCAGACGTCCCCACTGCCATTGCGCCAGCCAGCGAGATCATCGAGCCTACTTGCGTCGACAAGCCTCAACCCATCTGATTTTGATCTACTATTTTACTTGGACGACAGAGATTGTGTGTCCGTATTTTGTTTCTTGCTTCATTTTGCATCCATGGAGATGTAGGCGCGCAGCGCACAGTTTGATACCAGTAGAGTTTCTCTACTCTTTTGCATGATATTCCCCCCCCATCCCCAAACACAATTCGCTGAGACTAGATTCTCCAGCGCTGGGTTTTGTTAGGAGCGTTTTGTTATTTTTCCCAGGTTTGGGAGTTTGCATTGTTTCTTATGTAGCTCTGTAAGATGATAATGATAAGATGTCTATAATGATGGAAATTTGAATTGGTCCGTAACCTCGGCGATGTTACCGAATGAAGTTACTTGAAGCCACGATGTGAGCTTGAGTGCGATAGCACAACTGATGTTGTGCATTTATGGTCGGACCATTGTGTACGTGTGCATTGAGCGTGTACCCATGAAGCTATCGTGGTTGCATGCATTCCCGAGCGTTTGCTCGTAAACGTCAATTGCTTGTAGCCGATGCCAATCATAGCGAATCCACTTTTCTCTGAATCCAGGCGCTGGCATTCTCTAATATCACCACTGGCATTTATCTTCTGTGACTAATTACTTGCTGAGTCGGGGTTTCTGACAGCTGAAAAGTACTGCAGGCTCACTGAATCGCCTAGATATCGGCGCATCCACCAATCCCAAGATGATGCAACATGGGCTGGATGAGGAGACATCTCCCTATCGTCGGTTCTTCGGGAAGAGCACATTATACCATAGGACTGGATGACTTCGACTCACCAGGTATACTAGCTTGCAGTCTTGCCATGTCGTTCTTCAACTATCTATCACTTCACTGTCAAGATGAGGGACTGGCTTATCAGCAAGCTCCAGTGACATTTCGCGACTAATTACCTCGAGCCCGGGTAAGAAGGTGGGGGCGTTCCCGAGCTAATAGCTATCGGCGCGCTCCGCTCTGCTTGCCCCTCAACAACTCGGACCGGTCCGGCGGTATCCAATTCCTCAATGACCGGCCATTGCCCGCTTCACGCACCAAACGTCAGACGGTAGTGGTCATCTCTTCCGCCTGGCCGTGTCTGAGCTGACTCCTACACGATTGTGCTTCTGTTGGTAGAACATTTGACGCCTAGAAGTTGCCTCGTGCTAGCACTTAGAGCTAAGTCATTCCATTGGACGAGGGGCATACGAACATCAAAATGGAGGAATCCGTAGAGAAACATCGCTACGACCATCAAGGGCGAAACACAGAGGAACAAGCTGGCACCAGCCCTGCGATAGCCTTTCGATCTTCAAATGATCGCGCAAGCATCGAAGCTTTTCCCACCGCCACTCAACCTGGTCACCAAGACACACTTCAGGCCCCAAAGACAGCGTTGGAAACCAGTAAGTCTAAACCAGCCCATGAAACTCTTCCTGCAATGTCTTGAAAGTAGGTTCTGATGAGTTCCAATAGCCGATGAGCTTCACGACGATGGAATCGACTATCCCGAGGGCGGGTTCCAAGCCTGGATGGTGGTGGTCGGCGCGTGGTGCGCCATGATCCCTCCCATGGGCATCCTCAACACCATATCCGTGCTCCAAGGCTGGCTGCTGCAGAATGAGCTCAAAGGCGTTCCCGAAAGCAAAGCAGGATGGATATTTTCGTGTTACGCCTTCTTTATTACGGCCTGCGGAGCACAAGTTGGTTGGTTATCCCAGGAGTGCTTCAGGCCTAGCAGAGACTGACGATCGAGTCAACCACAGGACCAGTATTTGACGCATTCGATATCAGGGTGCTCCTCATACCAGGCTCTATTGGTATTGTTGCTTCCATGATCTTCCTCAGTCTATCGACAGGTTAGTAATCACCCGCAACCCAGCCTCACACCAGGGAAGCCTTCGCCCGCAGTACTGATCCACAACTATTGTGCTAGAATTCTACCAAATGCTCCTCTCCTTCGGCGTCTGCGGCGGCATCAGCGCCGCCTTCCTCTTCAACCCAGCCCTATCAGCAATAGGCCACTGGTTCTGCGAGCGCCGCGCCTTCGCAACAGGCGTAGCCTGCACGGCCGGCGGCCTCGGCGGCATCGGCTTCTCCCTCATCATCCAGTACCTCGCGCCCCGCATCGGCTTCCCCTGGGCCATGCGCATCATTGCCTTCATATCAACGGGCAGCCTGATCATCACAAACATCTTTCTCCGGAAACGGCTCCCGCCCAAACGCAAGGCCAAGGTTCTCATTGACTTTCGCCTCCTGCGTGACCTCAAGTTCGGGGTCGCAGTAGTGGCTATCTTCTTTGTGGAGTTTGCTGTCTTCATCCCGTACTCGTATATCTCGTCCTACGCGATTGAAAAGGGACTGGGCTTGCAGAAATCGTTCCTCCTGAACGTCCTGCTCAACGCCGGCGCGATACCCGGGCGGATGCTGCCTGGATACATTGCCGACCGTGTTGGCGCCTTCAACACCATGTGCGTCACCTCCCTCTGCTGCGGTGTCCTGATTCTGGGGCTGTGGCTCGCCGCCGGCGACGTAGATGCCAAGATCATGTCCTTCACCACGCTGTTCGGCTTCTGGTCTGGAGCTGCCATCAGCTTGTCGCCCGTGTGCATCTCTCGCGTCTGCAAGATTGAGGACTATGGCAAGTCGACGGGCATGGCGTACTTTATTGCGAGCTTCGGTGCGCTGGTTGGCATCCCATTGGCGGGTTTCTTATTGAAGACTGGGAGCGAGCCTTATCGAAACTTGATCATCTTCGCGGGGGCGGCGTACATGGTTGCATTTGTTGCATTTTGCGGTGCTAGGGGCATCGCGGGTGGTTGGAAACCGGCGTTGTTCTAGAGGAGGAATCGTAACTCATGGATGATATGAAACTTGGAAAGTCAAGCCGTAAGAAGCGATACCCTGGGTGCCACTGCCAGACTTGCGCAAGGTCAGCAACCCTTGATGTAGTTCGTAACATCGGCCGCCATCGTCGGCCAGAACCATTCCATCATCAATCGTCGTTGCGTGATATTCGGTCCGAAGTGACCAATGTCATCGTGAGCATATTTAGTCCCCATACCCTTCTAATGACCCGTACACATACCATTATTATCATAATGACCTCACTCTGCTTTCCGAAGCATATTCACCATGGAGTGAATGAAGAAACAAGTAGAATAGTAGTAGAAATAGTGGCAATACAAAAGTAATAAAAGAGTAGCGCCAGTAGTAGCAGTCTTAGCAGGAATGGCAAAAACGAAGCTCAGAATTCGAGTAGCAAACTGTCTCCTACTTGCTAGGATACCGGTAAGAGTTATTAATAGTGTTAAGAGAGATGTGCACATGTTTCTCACAATCTGTTGTCGCTTATTCATAGCAATGAATGTATTACCTAGTCAAGCAGTTCAATCATTTCGGCTGTGATTGAAATCGCATCTTGTTATTCATGACTATTCTTCTCCCTAAGTGCGGGAACGCCGGACTCCACCAGCCGGAGATGAGGTTCCTTTTCGCCAACGCACACCAAGCCTGCAATCTTCGAAGTGGGCTTTGAGAAGATTGGAGTACGAGGTAATGACATTCAAGACCGATTACAGCTCATTTTTGTGCGAAGGCCATAGAGTCGATGTGCACCGGATAGCTCAACTCCTTTTGGCTACTTCTCTACCTGAACAAAAGTAAGTAGTGCCCGCGCTTAAAAGGGCGTTTGATTGCTGCAACACTGTGCTTGATTCCCTCCAACCACCTCAGGCCCCCTCTTCTTGCCGAATTGTGCTTCATTGGAGTACAGTCGCCTTTGAATTGCCCGCTTAGCCAAAAATGGCCCTCATTTTCCGTCTGTGTCAAATGGCTGTAGTAGGAACATTTCCGACCAAAACCCGAGCTGAACTGGATGTCATGCATTTAAAGGATGTATGTGTTAATCAGGCTTGAGTCGTGTACTTCAAGCTTGCACCACCACTAACACCAGTTCATGATCACTCAGTCGGCGCTAGGCCAAAACTCACAAATAAGCATGGCTTATCAAAAGTTGGAAGAGGGTCGCGGCCGCCTAATTTTGGCTGAAAACATTCTCAATGTCCAATCAAACATCACGTAGCCAACATCACCAAGCTTCAACCATACGGTGATTCTCAACTGAGATTCTGTATTATGAAAGGAGTCTCAATTCCTTACTCAATAGCCTACCCATCAATCCACGGGCGAACTCGAAGAACGTCGCATCATTTAAGAACGCATTCTAGTGTCTCGAAACTCGCATCTTACCAATGGCAGATAGCGCTCCTAGAGAAGCCGAGGCGGAGCGCCGCGAGGCCCTCGACATCCTTGACGCAAAAGCCTCTCGACTAGTAGAGCAAATTAAGAAGAGCAAGCATTTTATCGCCTTCACCGGTGCAGGTATCTCCACCTCTGCAGGTGAGTTCCAATCCCCTATTCAGAGAAACGAGTTGCAAATGGGCTGTCTCGGCGTTCCGGTCTACATTGCACCTGTACTACATTTTCGATACGATCCAAAGCTGAAAAAATGTTGCTTTCAGGAATCCCCGACTTCCGCGGGCCTGAAGGTGCTTGGACACTGAGAGCCCAAGGAAGGCAGAGAACGGGCAAGACGACGAGTACGCTCCAGACCATTCCTACGAAGACGCACATGGCGCTCGTTGAGCTGCAGGACCGTGGCATCTTGAAGTATCTTGTCAGCCAGAACTGTGACGGCTTGCATCGCAAGAGTGGTATTCTACCAGTACGTTCGAGTCTCTCGCTATTGCTGCTCGAGGAGCCGGTCTGAAGATTGTTTACCCTGTAATAATCCTCTTTTTCCAGGAGAAGAGTTCGGAGCTTCATGGCAATAGCAACCGCGAGTATTGCAAGGATTGCGGTAAAGAGTATCTACGGGGTATGCTTCCTTTTCCTTGTCCTAATCGGTTACTGACACCGGAACTAGACTTCCGCGCCGTGGCAACCTACGAAAAGACGGTCCACGATCACCGCACCGGTCGAAAGTGCGCAGTCTGCAACGGCACCCTCCTCGACACCATCATCAACTTTGGCGAGTACCTCCCCGCAGAACCCCTCGCCCTCGCCCGCTCCAACGCCAGAAAAGCAGACCTCTGTCTCGCCCTCGGCTCGTCCCTGACTGTGCCGCCCGCATGCACGATCCCCGACACCGTCGGGAAGAAGAAGCGTACCAAGACGAATCCCGCTGGCGGGACCCTCGTGATTTGCAACCTGCAGAGCACGCCGCTTGATCACTTGAGCGAGTCGCTGCGGGTTTGGGCCACGACGGACGATTTGATGGTCAGGGTTATGGAGAAGCTGGATATCTCTATCCCGAGATTCGTGCTTCGTCGTCGGTTGGTGATGGAGATTGAGATGACTGCCGAGGGGAGGTATCAGATTACGGCGAGGGGCGTCGATGTGGGCGGCACGCCTGCGACTTTTTTGCAGTCTGTTAGGATGCAGGGTAACAGGCGCGTCGCGAGGACCGAGCCGTTTACCATTCCTTTCCGGGGCGAGTTGGCTGCTGTAGAGGAGGTGAAGGTGGAGCTGGAGTTTATGGGACACTATGGCGAGCCCAATTTGGACATTGTGATGGAGTACAACGGCGAGGAGAAGCTTGAGAGGATATACCTGCTCGAGTATGATCCTTCGACTGGGGCGTGGACAGTCAGCAGACAAGATGATGGAACTCTTGCCGGGCGGGGCGGCACTGCCGAGACAAATGAGGACATGGAGGATTCGCTGATGATCTCGGCCGAGGAGGCGGGTGTGCCTAGCCATATCATTGCTTCTTCTGCCGCCAGTGAGATCATCGACCTCACATCACCGTAAGGCATGTACGAGAGTAACGGCCAGGCAGGAATGGGTTGCGTGCTTGCAAATCGACACGTTCGCCATTGGCCCCGGTGGACCGATAAGAGTCCTCAGCTTTTCCTGTATTGAGGACCTTGTGGTCTAGGCTGCCCACAGAATGTCAAACTCTTGCTGCTTAAGCTTTTGAAAAGTGATGTTTTCACGAGAATTATTGAGTCACTTGCCAGGTCTCATGTAAATTGTAAGGTTGTTACACCTTTTTGAACTGAGAACCTTGGAGGATGCATGACCCAGTAATAGAATTACTTCGATTTCTTCACAAGCATGTCAACGGTTTGTAGGCTCGCCATCCATCACTTTTTCTCCTGGGTTGCTACTTCAGGGTCGTGGTAATTGCGGTCGTGTGTATGGTCGACCAAAATCAATTCGTGAGGCGAAGAAGCACAAGACTCCGCTCGATACATCCGCCGGTTATCGAGGCCAAGTTTACAGAAGCACTCAAGAAGGCAGCTACCCTGACGACAGCGGTAGTTGCCGTGCAGATAAGCGCACACCTGAGAGATGTTACAAGGCCCAAGAATTGTTCAATTGTCTTCATAGCCGCTATAAATGAGCCGTACTTGAACGAGCGCGGGATCTGCCAAAACCCAAGACTTGTTCCGCTTGTAGAGATTTGAGATGTACTAGAGTACCGCTAAGATGAGTCTCATAACGTGGGCTAGGGCCGGAAAGAAGGCCTGTATTCATATATAAGACTATTTCATGTATCCCATCAACTGCTATGCGTCACCACATCCGTCTCCAGCCTTTCTGCCATTCCGCTTCATTGTGAAATCATTTACAGGCGGATTTAAGGAAGAAAAAGTCGGGTTAATACATAATACACCATTACCACTGATAAAAGTACATGTAAGTATACATCTAGGGCATTGACGCTCTCTAGTAGCTGATAGAACATTAGTACTGACTTTAGCAATAACAGGCTTGGAGTCAGAATGACTTATATTTGATAGCGTTCTCGATCTAGAAGAAGAGCCCCCAGAACGATCGACGTTCGGCGCGTTGCAATTGGAGTTGCAACTGGATAATAAGCTTCTCCATAAGCGCTTCCGACTCCCCGTTGGCTTTTTGCAACTCCTCGTTGACTTTTGGCAATTGTACGATGTTCTTCATGACTTCTTCCAAGGCCTCTTGGTCGACTTTGGCCACAAAAGGTGATGTGTAAGGATATCGGTGCGGATCCTGGATTCTTCGATGACTGTAGATGGGGATCAATGTTCGTCGTGCAGGAACGATTCGAGCAAACCTAGCGATTGACGGATGCATGTTGGCTGTGTTGATGTGGAGAATGGATCATGTTGAGATGTGTGAGAGAGAAGTGGTGGTGTAGTAGAGAATAGGCGAGGAGACGAGAAAAAGTTGAACATGGCCCAGGTTCGAGTTTGCTATCCATCAGGGTGAGGCTTTGCGTTGGGTGAGTCACCATTATCGTTCGGAACAGTTTACACTCGTCACCTTGCGCAAGAAGTGTTCCCGAATACCTTTGCGCAATCCCGTGCACCCGCGAATCTAGTTTCCTCGGCCATCGACATGGGCGTCGTTGTGTAAACGCGAAGGACGCTGGCAAAGATGAGGTCGAATCGTCGACCGGCTCCGAAGGTGTACTTTTCGGGGCCTACTCGGCCGAGTTTGAAGAGGTTCTTGCCCTGGGCTAACTCACAAGCGAAAGTTTGGTGGGTGTTGCGGATGTGGCCGGATTGTCACTTAGAGTATGGCTAGTAGAGAGGCTTTTGATACTGAATGCTTTAGATTCGGTGTAAGTTGCAAATAGTCTGCAGCCAGGAATCGAGATCGGGTAATGTAGCGTCAAATCTATTCCTGGCTTTCCTCCATCAGCTGTAAGGCCTCTTCCTCTCACTAGCAGTCACCTTTAGTCGATTCTGCTAGATCATTGCTGAAGGCTGTGGATACGAGTTCGTTGCTGTTATGGTCTGAGAAAAAGCAACAGGGCCTTAGTTGACTTACACAACATCCAATCATCAGATTAAGATGCATGAATCGACGTCCAGCTAGCGAAGTAGAGCCAAACACTCGGGAGCGGCTAACAATAACAGCGTGTTTTGTGTTACTGGCCTGTCTTATTGTAAGTGGTCAATTGATGGAAGCTAGAAGGCTTCGGGCCTCTTAGTCTTGGCCCACTTGGCGTTCACGGAGGGAGTCCCGCGGGGCCGAGGAGATTTAGCGTTGTGAACCGTGATCGGTGATGCAGGGGTGACTTGACGTCACGGGACGACTCCAGCACCATGATCTGATTCGAGCAACATTTGTGTGAGAAAAAGCAAGTTAGACAGTTGAGAAGAGAAAGCCGAGGTACCCGAAGAATAGGCTGCATTATGGATGCGAAGGAAGCGTTTCCCAGCTGCACCTCGTGTTTGCCGGCGGGTCCGGGGGTTCAAAGAAGCCAAGAATTGAAGAAGAGAGCAGCGCTGGGCGCGTCCCTGAAGAAGTCTTAGTCAAGGCATCAAGCCCGTGCAGTTGGAAGGACATGTATCCGTAATTGTACACTGAGCTAGAGTCTCACTTCGCAGAAGTTTGCATGGGAAGACTTGGCTGTGCTCAATCCATTCAGGCGGCTTCGTGGCGGCCCAGCATGAAGCAACGTTGCGCCTGTCTGCGGGTGCAAGGGAGTGGCTTGATGGCCCAGCTGCCAGCTGAAGTTGACCACTTGGCTGTCACTTACCTGCTGGGGATGTGTAGCCAACCACGGGATTTCGATGGGAGTTCCATGAATGAGAAGCACGTGCGAGGGTTAGGTGAGGCCTGATCGACATTCTTGGACCTGGTCGCGGAAATGGCGATGGAATGGAATGTTGTGCGGCCCAGCTTCCCCAGATCTCAGTCAGACTAGTGCAATGGCAGACCAGCCGAGTGTCGAGATACGTGCAACTCCAAGACGTGATTAGTACTTGGACCACATGGTGCATCGGCAGGCCGTGGAACTACACTGAAGGCATGGTTGACTTGCGGTGAACATCGTCATGCAAACGCTGCGATTTGCTTCAATTGCAAATATCAAAAGCTTGTTTTGGCCAGCGAAGATCGGTCAGCACTGGGGCGAAGCGATGTGATGCAGGGTGGCGGGAACCCCACGGCTCTCGCCGGAAGTGAGGAGATTCTCGTATCCATCGTGAGATTTAGGTCAAGAGACGATGTGACGATGCAGCGCTGTGCCGCACTAAGGTGAATCAGCTAGGTGGTTGGTCGGGCGAAGGCAGCCGACGATGAACCTTGCCGTAGGCCAGAGATGGTGGGTTGATAATGTAAAGTGCCGACAGTCTGGGGAGAGAGTTGAGTGTGAGTGGTAATACTTGGAAGGTGGTGGGATGGAGCGGTGAAAATCCGCACGAAATTACCTCACGAGCGTCCATCGTCATCTCGCCTCGCCAAAGGTCTTTTCCAATGAATATGTCGAGTGAGCAGAAAACAAGAGGTCGAGCGGCAACCCTCCTGGCAAGTTGGCAACCAACGCATGATGCGGCGGCGTGAGGGGAAATGCGAGCTAGCAAGCGGCGAGCTGCAAGGAAGAGAAGACGGAAAAGAGCGGGCGAGTAAGGCGACGGGGTGCAGCATTGTGCATTAGCCGCGGCCAGGGTGCCCAAAAGCCTCAAGCTTGATTTCTTTTCTTAGCCCATGGCCGTCAGTCGGTCATTTAGGTAGTCAGTCGGGTGGGAGAAAGCTTCGTGATCGTGTTCGTGAGGCCAAAGTGGAAGCAAGTTGAGACTTGAGAGCGCCTTTGTCGTGTCCAGATTGGGGTTAACGGTGGAAGAAACGATCGGTGGCTGGCTACCTTGCCTTTCGGGAAGTTGTCAAATGAACGAGGGACCGTTGGGTTAGAAGCTGATGAACATTGTCCCATCGTATAAGAATGACTAGTATTAAGCTTGAATATCTTGGTGGGCAGTCGAATACATGAAAGCGGAGTTGGGAGTTGGATGTCTTGTCGAGGAATGCGGGAGAGAGAGAAGCCCCGGGGAAGCAGAAAGAAGCGCCTGGGATATGTATCTAGGTACTTGCATAAATCCAAGATACGTACCAACTTGCCTCGTTTTCCAGGATGCAGCCAGACGCCGAAGGCCACGGAGAATTCTGTAGAAAAAAAATGAAAAAAATTGAGAGAAGGCAAGAGCATCTAGGTTGGCGACTTCCGTGTTAGCCGAGCTGTGCCCTCCTGCGCGAGGAAGGCGCGATGTTTTTCTGAAGTTGGCAGTTGCCCAGCGAGGCAGCGAGGCCCCACCGGATAGAGCTGGTGATGCCCCACTCGTCCGTCCTAAATCGGCCAAGGCTGTCACTGATTGGCTTTGAACGGTCGTCTGGGTCATTCGACAGGCTAGGCTACCCCTGGCTAGAGCACACTAAGCGAAAGCCACTAGGCAGGGGGGAAGGAAGAAGATGGGACCTTTTGGATTTTCCGCTTCTTCTTCCCACGCGAGTTGCCATTCCAACCTCGAGTCCACCCGTCCACGCCATCCACGCCGTCGAACCGCACCGTTGGAGGCGGGCAAGCGGGAGAGACAAGAAACAGACTTTGCAAGCCTTCAAAGAAACTTCATCGATCAACCCCACTTTGGACTACCTCTTGTGGATCTGGCCGATGCGCCGTCGACAAACGTCGAAACAACCGTCCAATGACCGGAGCAACGCAAGGGTTATCAACTTGACAACCTTCCTCCATCGAACTCCGCTTCTCCTCATGGTCGAAGATCCTCCGGATTCTGCCAGCAGGTCATCCACCGTGTTCCTGGTGCCATCTCCACCGTCTAAGATCATCACTGGAACACCGGGCCATTCGCGCCTCGAATACGTCTCCCCATCCAGAGTCACTCCCGTCTCTGATAGACCCCGTGCCCTCCGTGTGGCTTCCCTTACCGTGGCGACCGTATTTCGCCGTCGATTTCCGCCCGTCGTCTACCAGTGCCATATCCCTGGGACCTCAAAGTCATGACAGAACACCACACTAGACACCGCGCCATGTACCCAAATTCGACAAACCACCGATGGTTGACCGGTGACTGGTCGACCTTGAACTCGCCCTACGTTGTGTACGGGCTCGCTAGCAGACCACCGGCGCAACCTTCTGCTGACTGGCAGCTATGCCATGATGTAGCCCGACCTGACAGCAAGGGCACTACTGTTACCTTGCATATCGACATGGTGCCTCATCTCGTGCCATGGCTGGGTGGGAACATGGGTAAAAAGGCAACCAAGAGATCAACCACGAGCCGTGCTGCGGCTCCAGCTCGTATTCCGCTGGTTAGTCCGCCCTGGTGGCATGGATGGATGGATGATGGATGCATCACTCCCCGCCGTGGCCTCCAGCAACCGGCAACCATCCACACCCTTGTCTGCTTTCTGATAAAGTCCCCTTCGCTGCGCCGAGAGTATGGTTCGTGTCTCCTCGTTCTCTCCTTACCCACGGTCACTACGAGTAAATCGTCCTCTCGCTCCAATCAACTAGTAGACTTTCAAAGTCACTGTCATTCGCTTACAAACAACAAGAACCAATATGCGTGGCCTCTACATGGGACTGGGCGCCATCGCCCTGGCGTCCGTCAATGCTTGGGAATACCCCTTTTGTGTACGTCTGATCATACCCCTGTCTACCTTCACTGTGTTATCATCCCCCCCATTTCGTCTCATTCATCTATACAGCCGTTATGTGATGGGACGAACTATCCCCCAACAGCTATATGTAATTATGAGCGCTCCCGACTGACACATCACAGGAACATGATGGGTGCTACCGCAACCTCATCGATGAACGCTTTGCTGAGGAGGCCAAGGGCTTCTGTGTTGAGTTCCTCCATGGAACCACCACTGCTGCCGCTGCTATCCCAACAGACTTCAACAACTGCGCCGGAGATGTCAAGGCTGTCTCCTCTGCCTGCTCCTGCATCACCTACAGCTTGAGCACAACGGTCCTTGCCACCACCAGTACCTCTGCCCCATGGACCACAAGCACTCCTGCTCCCCCGACCACCGTCAGCACCACCGAAGCCACCAAGACTACTTGGTCCTCCAGCGAGGTTGTCTCTACGAGCACATCCAAGGAGCACTCTTCCTCTACTCCCGTCACCTCTGAGGCGAGTACATCGTCCACCTGGGTCAGCAGCACCAAGGTTCACAGCACATCCACCTCTTCTGAGGATTGCACGACTTCGTCCACGGCTGCCAGCTCGACCAAGGAGCATAGCACCTCCACCTCTTCCGAAGACTGTACGACCTCTTCCACCGCCGTCAGCAGCACCAAAGTCCACAGCACAACCACTTCATCGGAGGATTGCACGACTTCCACTGTTGCTAGCAGCACCAAGGTCCACAGCACGTCTACGTCGACCGAGGACTGCACTACTTCCTCGACTGCTGTCAGCAGCACCAAGGGCGTCTCTACCTCTACCAGCGAGATCGTGAGCACTACCAAGTACCACAACACGACGACTCCTGCTACCGAGGACTGCACAACTTCTACCGCGTTCAGCACCACCAAAGCCCACAGCACGACGACCGAGGACTGCACGACCGAGATGACCGTGAGCACCAAGAGCCATCACTCCCACTCCAGCAAGCCCTCGACTTACGTCCCTCCTCCCCCTTCCACTACCACCGAGGATTGCACCACCGAGACTGCCGTCAGCAGCACTAAGGGGGAGAGCACGACTAAGACCTGGGTCCATCCTCCTCCTCCTCCCACTACCACCCCCTATGCTAACACGACGACGAGTGCAAAGCCTCCTCACACCAAGACTAGCACCACCAAGCTGACCACGTCCACCGTCTATACCACGACGGTCGAGACCGTGACAAGATGCCCGCCCAGCGTCACGAACTGCCCTCACACTCCCGTCACCACAACCAAGACCATCGCCGTCTCCACGACTATCTGCCCCGTCACGGAAGAGTCCACAAAGCCCGTTCCCACCCACCCTGCTCCTCCCCCAACGACCTGGACGACTTCTACTGTTTACACCACCAAGGTTCACACCATCACCAGGTGCCCTCCTGATACCCCCAACTGCCCTGAGGGTCCTCACACCACCACCGAGACTATTCCTGTCTCCACCACCATCTGCCCCGTCACAGAGAGCGTGCCTCACACTTTCACCACTGTGCACCCGGCTCCCAGCAGCCCTCCTCCACCGCCCGCTGGCACTCCTCCTGCTGGAACCCCTCCTGCTCCTCCCGCCAGCACTCACCCGGCGCCTCCTGCTGGTACTCCCCCGGCTGGTACTCCCCCGGCTGGTACTCCCCCGGCTGGCACTCCCCCGGCTGGTACTCCCCCGGCTGGTACTCCCCCGGCTGGCACTCCCCCGGCTGGTACTCCCCCGGCTGGCACTCCCCCGGCTGGCACTCCTCCCGCTCCGCCTGCTAGCACTCACCCTGCTCCCCCCGCCGGTACCCCCGCACCCCCTCCGGCTAGCACCCCCTCTGCCCCTCCTGCCGGCACTCCTCCTCCCGCTGCCACCACGCCCGTCGCCTCGCCCAGCAAGACCACCACTGGCCCGGTCCAAGTCACCAACGCTGCTGATCGTCTCGGATCCGGCATCTTGGCCGCAGCAGCTGGTGTCGTGGTTGCTGCTCTGCTCTGAAACAAACCTTGGGCATAATTAGTGGACTTTCAAGCGAGCTTTTTGTTTAATGTGTAATTCATGAAAATTTAACGTTCACACGACACAATGTGGATATGGGATATGTAATGCGTGTTCATAGCGATAGTCGTACCTTACAAAAATTGAGTAATGCTGCTATCATGCGGCCATGTTGATGATATAATCGTTCTTTCCCGGTGCTTCTTGTGACTGGCTGCTTAATACTTCGGGGGATTCATTCAATATTGTAAGGTGAGAGATATGGCTTAACGCACATTCGTATGGTTTTGCCCATAAGCTAGGGCTGGCGCCATATTGGACTAGAAAGTCGAGAACGAGCCCGAAGATCATGTAGAAGATGAAAATGAAACCAGTGCCTCGGGCAAGGAGCAATACAGTGCGTGGATAGTCTGGAAAGCGATGACAACGAAGTTATTTTGGAGATTGGGACCAAGGAGAAAGGACTGGAGGATTCCAGGGGTTCGAAAGAAACAGCCTCATGTCACCCGAGTTCTGGTTCCAGGAGGTTCAGGCGAAGTGGATTGCGGATTCGAGCAGAGCCACGTCTAATCCGCAAGGGACTCGGGGTGAAACTGACAGGGAAAGAAGTGTCGTATGTTCTGGAAACGAGTGTCATTCATTGAAGGACACAGACATGGTGGATTCGTTGCAGTGGAAGGCTGTTTCTTTGTGTGCCCGCACTTAACAATGGTGTTGAGGCAACCCTGTAATTTGATGATTCCGTTCAAGTACCCTGTTCTACCTGTCCACATCGAATTTCCCGAAACTATGAACTCGAGCTTTTAGTCGAACTTGGCAGAAGATAGTTTCAATCTACCCAGTTCTGGCACCATCAAGGTTGAAGAAGATGACTTGAAAGGACGTAAGGACGCCCGACAGGGACGTCGCCTTGGACTGGAGCTGCAGCATAAGGCGTCGTTAAGACACCTTCACTTTCAAGAGTGCACGATAGAAGATTTCGGGAACCCGTTTCTAGCTGTTTCCGAACTCTAGACAGCAACCTTCTCAAATTGAACCATTCCACTCTCGGACTATTTCACTTGCCCAATAGACTGGAAATATTCTCGAGCAAAACGCATCCAAATCTCGTCGTAACACTACCAGTCAAACTCCCGACGCATCACCATGGCTCCGCAAGGTAGTTCCGGTGAAATTTCTCGCAAAAGATCACCTTCGCCGGATTTTAGCGATTGGGAAGGCCGCTACAACCTACGCAGCAAGGTATTGTCGTCAAATTTCATTTCTTATCGACGCTAAACTTCGACACATCATCCGACTGAATCTCCCTGTTCTCTTTCATGTGTCAAATGGTCTATGCCTGGCCACCGAAGCAGAAGCTAACTTCTTCAAGAAAGCGAAAGTAAAAAATGAGTGGGGTTTCTTGTAAGTCTCTGCGTCAACGGTGTAGGGTGGGCCCGAAGCTGACGACAAAGTCATAGAGCACTGCCACAAGAGGTACGGAACATGGTCTATGGCCTAGCTTTCGTACAAAGTCGAATCACTGTCTACTGGGATCCCCGAAATAAACGTTTCCGACACAGTGGCTCTAGCTCTCTCCTACACACCTGCAAGACAACTCTCGCCGAAGCAAGAGCTATGCTGGACTACTCGGCTTCATTCGAGATCGAGGACATAGAGTACCTCGAAATGTGGCTGAAAGGAATCGGAATGAGAGTTCTCAACCTACGCGTCATCAAGTTGACACGGTCATTCCAAGCAGCCTTTGTGCGAAAACGCGGGATTGGAAACTTTCGAGTGTGGAAACAGAGAGAGTATAGGGCTACCTCGCGACGGGTTGCTCAACTCCTCAGCGGCTGTCAGCATCTTGAAAGTCTGGATCTGGGCTACTTTTACACCACGAAGTACCAGAAGACCACGCTCATTGAGATGCAAGATAACCCTAGGGATTGGAAAGTTCAGATACGACTTCTGACCGAGATGGTGTTTGAGGATCTGTTGCTCCTCTTGCAGGGGGCCAAGTCTTCCGGAAAGACTCTGGATCAAGTGGTGAACTTACTCAAGATTCATCCCAACAACTTCGAGTCTATTACAATGTACTACCATCTAAAGAAAGGAAAGCCCGAGCGAGAGGCAGCTCGTCACATGAAGGTACTGGTTGAGAAGTTTATTGGAAGTTGATCATAGTCCAGCCTCCCTAGCAGAAATCGGCTAGAATAAGGCACCCATAGACTGGATGAGAAATGGCGGCTAGGAATAAGTTTGACTTATTGAAAGGCGAGTGGTGTCCCAATGATTGGCTTGTCTTCGATGATGGCTGGAGATGTACGCAACAGACTGGAGCTGGTTGACGTCCTCACAGGTGGAGCGGATTGTGCGAGAGTTGGACAGCGCCAGAAAACACGCCATCCGTGCGGGTAGCAGATGGAGGATTGTTTGCAAATGGGGGCCATGGTTGAAGTCAAAATCAGTATAGCTATCAGTTCTTGTTTCCCATATTATCGGCAAAAGGAAATGCAAACCATGAATGCTAATATCAGAGGCGAAGATTCGCTTCCGAGATTGTACGATATATTCCGGTACTGGTCGCTTTACTGTTGTCTCAAATTTGATACTGTACTACTCATGATGGTTTTGGCACCATTGAGGGTGAGAGCAATGCAAGGACCTCCGAGGCCTGCAAATGACGGATTGGAGTAGCGTTTCGTCTCTCTCAGTGAAGATCTGATGTAAAACCAGAGGGAAATCATCTTCAAGTCGCTGGTAAAGGCAACACAATCACGAGTTACTGCAGCTGGATGACCAGTCCAACTCATAGGAAACCCGGCTTTGAGGGAATGTTACCCAAGTCAGATGTTGTATAGATGAAGCGGGCCCACTGAGACGCGGATATATACAGTGTAGGGCACTTATCATCCCAGGCCGAGTGCGTTAGAATGAGCAGAAATGGCACTCCGAGGCGACACTTGAATTCAAACAGATCCGGCGTGTTTAATGGTTGGTTGAAACAACTCCGTGGCAGAAGCCGTAAGTATTTAGCGCATTGGCCAAAAATATCTGGCCGGAGTTATGCAACGATCTCAAGGGAATAGTACATTTGGGTAAGATTGTCAATGACTACGTTAGTCAGGTCATAGGAATATTGTGGCTAAAAATGGCATGGTGATATCAAGGAAGGGCATTGCTTGACGTCAAACAAAACACACCTCAACATAGGCCACGAACCCCAGCCTAAGTAATTGCCAACGTTGAGCAGTAGTTCCCATTCACACAACGTCTCACGCCAAACCTTGAGAGGTGTGATGTGAATGCTTGTCAGAATTTATAGGGTATCAAAACGGGACGACTGCCTCTAAATTACAAAGATTTGTATGGCCAAATGACTCGCTGTATGAACGCTGTGTGATTGCATCTCCTTAATGCGACTCAATGGTTGGTCTAGTGACATTTGGTAGGTCGATTACGGGTTGTCTAGCGGGAGCTAGAGAGTACCTTATGCCACGCTATCGTCACGCTTGTGTCGATATCGATTATGCCAGCTCTTTGTTTATGCCAACGTGGACAGCATCGCTGGGTGTCCTGCACCGTGGTATGATGTGGGTATTAGTTGTGGAGTGTTGGACTTGACGTTTGCGTTGCGCCGTTGTGTCTATTTCGGCGTTCGCGGTCTTTCGTGATGTTTCTGGCGGATGTAGTATTATTCCAACCTGGAGTCAGACATATTAGTTTTCGGCTGCTTATGAGTTTGTTGTATGGAAAGGGTTGATTACCTCTCCTGTGACATTAAGGTGTTCACCGGTGGTTGATCCAGTAGATGAAGCCGCCCACGCCAAATATACATGTACCAGCTGTGCACATAAGTCAGCCAAAGTTTCGGTTCCAGTCATGCAGTTCTGGTGCAAGTCCACTCACCCACTGCCAGTGTCTCTAGTACGGTGTGGTCGACGCTTCTTTTCATAATCTCATGCCCAACTTCCATCATCCCCTCCTGGATAAGCCGCGTATCGAGAACAGGCATGTTGAGTAAGTGGGTAGATAAAAACCCGCGATTTCGATGGGCCAACGAAAGAATGTAAATGAATGCAGCTGATCGGAAAAGACGGAGACAACGATCCCCGGGATCAGCAACTTGAACGAGGTCTTTCTTTTGCGGACGAACTAAAACAAAGTTGTGGTTCTGGGTGCCCATATATCATCAAATCCTAGGTCTCTCCGATCGCGTCGGGCCCGCATCTCAACCATGCCGATGCGACGGAGAGTGGCCGGGGTTCGTGGGATAATCACCAAATAATGCCAAGAGATTCGAAGCGCCAGCCTGGGTCTGTATGGTCATTCCCACACACGCGGGCTTGGGAATGGGCTCATGTCATCTCATTTCGGTTTCAAAAGGGGGTGCAGCAAATGCGAGAGGATTGCGTTATCACGGTCAGAGGAGATGGTCCCATTGACTAAAAGGTAGTTTCGGGGCCGCCCTTAAACCGTGCTGGTACCGGGCCTAAGGGTCGCATTCTCGTTGAAGAACCCCACCAATTCATCTGTCACCTGGGGTTTGTGGATTTTTCCAACCTTGATTTACGGATCTACGAACCACTGGCGATGATTACGGAACATGTGAAGTATTTTCCTTTAAATACGCCGTCATCTGCACGTCTGAGAAGTTGAATGACCCTCAAGCCAACGCCTCTTTCCACTTTCACACTTTCATCGTCCTATCCAACATTTCCTTTTACCTTCAAGTTTTGGCAACAGCACAGCCTCACACCATAGTCCTGCGACTTTATCGCGATGTGAAGCCCAAGTGAGTCCATTCTGAGGCGAGAACAATGTGGCCCCCCACCGTTTCAGCCTCCTGAAACAAGGAGGATCTACGGAGAGTTGCGTGAACCCCTGCCCAACTGAATGCCGCGTCGGCTCATCTACCCACTCCGTCCGCCGGCCGGAGCATTCCATTACATTAGACGGCGAGGGGTTCCTCATCGTCCAATGTGAGGAACCAACCCAGCGATCACGTTCCTCGGTCGTAATCTTGCAGGCAAGTGGAAACGAGCACCGCTTCAGCCGCATCGAATCTCTAGGCACCACTAGCTCAGGTTCGTCGTATTGAAATTTCCGAGTCCGACAAAAATGCTCAAATGCCCGTTACTGGCTCATCGCAATAAACTTTTTACCTTTTGTAACGCTGGTAGCCAAGCTACAAATTCAACTTGGCAGCTGCGGCTCCCCTGATGTGACAAGCCGCGACGTCTTGGCCAAGCTCTTGGCCTCGTATCTTTCAGCGCTGCCACGTCGGCACTTACGTGATTTGAGACGACCCAAGAAATGACGGCCGCAGGAAACTTCATCGTCGTTTTCCACAGTCGTACATATGATTGCTTTAAGCACCAATGTTCGAAGACCATCAATCATGGCTCTTGCTCTTGTCAGCCACATGTTTTGAGATAAAGTCTGGAGCCTACCACCCTATGCCTCCTTTGCGAAAGTACAACGACGATGCGCGGAAATTAGTATAGGTTGATACAAAGCTATTCGGAGGAAGGAAGAATATCATCGATACAGGACTCATGTGAAGCGTGATGTTACTATGGAGTACTTACCATGATTTATTTTATTTTCTTCCTTACAAGGCATTCGTCTTAAGAGTTGCTTCGAACATTAACTATGAAATGCTTTCTTGGCTATTAAATGCTTACTGACCATAGTCTTCATCGACTTAATAAAGCATGCAACTTCACGCGATCCGGATTTCACACTCAGTGAAATGACTGAGTTCGTAGAACCCAATTTGACGCTTCGAGCTTCTTGCTAAGACTCATAACCGCCATAGCTCTTGTTTCTCACTCCGTTGTCGTATGCATCTTCCCAAGTGAACTTTCCCTTAGGGTCCCGAGATGACTGCTCAAGTACAAAATCTTGACTCATAGCTAGATCGATGATATGCTTCAGTCGTTGCAAAAGCATTGCATCACAACCATGCATTCACTCGAACTGCGTCGCATACGATAGACCATGCACATATGACCATTGTGTGACATCCTCTTAGTTAGTATCTTTCTCCTATTCTCCAGTGGCGCTAATACATCTCGAAGCAACTAAATCCATTTCCATCAAAACAATTCGTTCATTTCCGAGGTAAGGTTTTCCCTTATCGAGACGCGGCCCGGAGGTACACCTTTACAATTGTAGAGTGGCCATAAAACCAGTCGCCAATGTGTTAAACAGTGTGGAAGTTCACAAGGACTTGTGATAATTATGCACTGGGGTAAGGAACTATGCTGACCTCGGAAGCCAATCCAAGCGCTGATAATCTCAAGTCATTTCTTGCTCTTCGGTTTGATACCATAGTGCCTCAGAGATATAGAGCTCTATGAATCCAACTACCATCCACAGATACTGTATTTAATCCTGGATAACTGGGAAAGAACTTTTTTTGCAAATCGCGACTCGAGCAGTGATGCCATCATCGCAAGCGATTTACAAGCGATGACTCTCTTCAGACTCTGCTCATTCTCACAGAAACTAGTCTGGTCATTTGTTTGAAAGTCGGCTGATGAGTTGACAGATATGTTCCTTTCGTTCTCGGAAGTGAACTCAACTCGTCATTTCAAGAGTAAGCACTTGAGGTAAGCAAGTCGATTAAGGCGTTTACCTTGATCAAATTTTCTCTATTACCCCCAGATTGTCCAGCCATTTCCTAATTAAGAGACATCCTATTCATAGTTTGAATAGGACTTCCATCGAGTTAGAGAAGTTTAACTGAGATCTGGCAATAACTTCGAGCTCAGGTCAAGGCATCCAATTTAATGCGATTTGAGCTCCGGAAACATTTGACTGGAAATAATTCCTGCCATATCCCAAAAGAATTGAAACACACACTGAAAGACGAAGAAAGATTTGGAAACTTGTTGCGATCTGATATAGCACCTGTCCACAACAGATTTTCGTGGTTGCTAAAGGGATGGAGCAACCTAGCAAACTTGAAGGAGAAACTAGGTCAACCACCAGAAACATCCTTGAAGCTAGAGGAAAGCTGACAGTACAATTCTCGATGTCAATAAATCTGGTCAGAGTAAATTTGACGAGTCATGGTGGGTTGGTCTTCTTCCAAACCACTAACTTGTAGTCGTGGGATCTTGTTTACGAGACCTTGACTAACCAGGTACTTTGTTCACGTGGTTTAGAAGGCAGCAACTAACATGAAATAGAATTGAACTTGAAGAAATTCTGGTAGCAGTATCATTGACTAGAGTAAGGGCAATGTGTGCAAAGAGACGATGACGGATCAGAGTGTCTGTGTTTTCTTCTTTCCTTTTTTTTTTGGCTGTAGAGCGAGAATATATGCACACTAATAACCATCAACGGATCCGGCCACTTCGAATACCCTAGGTCAAAAGACACGCGGAACCTTTTCATGTTGTCTTTTGATAGAATTTACTCATTTAACTCGTTGAGATTGCCATTCGGCTTCTCCTGTGTGCTGTGTTCCTTGATGTATCCCCTAACGACCTCCCGCAAGTCACTTTGCGGAAGTCCCAAGATCTTGTTTGACTTGTCTTCCTCCTTGATAGCATGGCCGGGCACGTCGCCGAACCAGTACTTTTGCAAAAACTCCTCAAAGGGGAAACGACCTCCAGCCTTGAGCTTCTCCTTGCCCTCCTTCTCTGCTTCTTCGGCAGTCTTGTGCTCAACTGTGAAGTTTGAACCCGTCTCCTCTTCGAACAGCTTGTGGAGCTCGTTTTGTGTGACTTCGAATTCGACGATATTGATGTACTTGTTCGCAGTTTCGGTGGGGTGCTGAAGCATCACGACAATGCCCTCGGCCAAGAAAGCAAGTGATGGCGTTGAGACTTTTTGGTTTCCAGAGTCGAAGATCGTAATGCTCTTGTTCTCAAGTGAAATTCCGTAGATTCCTCGCGTGATACTCTATTGGGTTATGGTTAATTACAACTTCATACAACATGAACTGTCCAAAGCGAGGACTTACCCAGTCGAAGAACAGACTCGTTCCAATACCAGTCCATGTGAAGCTTGGGTTGGCCTCCGTCTTCTTGATCAGATAGTCGACAGCGGCCGTCTTGGATTTGAGCCAATCGCCGAGGATCTCGCCCTCCAAGGTGCGTGTGTTGAGACCGTACTCGGATGGGATGAAGTGCTTCACGCCAGCGGCGATCGCCGCATCGATGAGCGGGTCTTGCGAGCCGGGGACGATGACTGCAACAGTGGAGATGGCAGAGATGACAGCATCCTGTCCGGCAAAAGCAGCCGTGAGAGACTCAACAGACGAGAGATCTGCCTTGCGAACAGCGACACCTGATGGAAATGTGGCGGTTGAAGCTTCGCGGGAGATGGCTGTTACTTGAAAGCCCTTTTCAAGGAGGGCTTAGACGACTCGCAGGCCGACAAGGCCGGATGCCTAGATTCAGATGTGAGCTTTGGGTTCATATTGAAGAGTTGTCGAATCAGTACTTACACCAACGACGGCAACTGTTTTGATGGACATTTTGAACGGTATTCGATATCGAACGATTGAGTGGAATGCAACAGAACTTCGAGAGATTGAAGGTTTCGCAGCCAAGGCACCAGATCTCTATTTATACGTGAAAATAGAACCTACAAACGTGGGAAGTTCTACCCCTCCAACCCCTCTATCCCCGTCATGAACTCTAAGTTTTGCGCCTTCTGGCATGCCGGTTCTGGTTCCGCGGAGTGCAACCCTACGCGGGGGCTCAATATTCAAGCTTCCCGAAATACAAAGAGCAGTGACAATTTTCGCAACGATACCCACGGTCCCACGCAGTTGCCCTTGCATCATTTCAGATCGACGATATGCCGCTGGTGGCCCTGGCAAAGCCTGGTAAGGTGGCATGAGACCCCATATAGTCCTAGTCTATGGGTCGAAGCCCGGGTGTCCTTGCCGGGTAGTAATGGCGAGTCAGGGAGGCCGGCTCCCACCTTGTGCAACCTGTTATCTACCTAGACGGCTCCCACTCGTCACTTTCCACCTTCCATAAGTTTAGTGAAGAGTTGGGCTTTGAATAACTTGGCACACTTGGGTCACTCTCGGTTTCTCGATGCGGTTTCTTCGCCATCGGGAATGGCCGCCCGCGGTACCTGGCGGCGGCACCGTGACAGGGAGGAAGTTTCCGACTTTCCGTACGCGGACATGCTTGAAGATAAACTGCCGCAGCTGCAAGCCGGACAAGGGTCACGGCTGTGGCCCGGAAAGAGATTCAGCTCGTCGGAAACCATTGTTGCTGTGACGTAGCTGGCGGTCGCACTGCCGGCCTTTCTCACGAGATCTTTCGTCTCTTCGCCAGCCCCGAGAATGAGCGTGGGCCACCTATGTCAAGTGACAGGCCTGTCATCCGAAGGTTAGACAAAATCGCATTGCTCGTAGATCAGACACTTGGAATGGGCAGTCATATCTATGTACAAGCTTCTGCATGTAACTAAAAAGATGTATGTACAACATAGCGAAGGAGGCATCTTAAACAGCCTTATTTAGCTTCCAGCCACCGGCAAACCCGCGCGCAATGCAAATTGTCATACCACTAGCCGCAAGGCAACATCCCGACCAGATCCAACCGCTCAAGTATCCATGCGACCTGGATAGCGCACCAGCAATGGGCGATCCGAACAACAGTGCCACAGACATGACAGTAAAAGCCATACCGAACCTGGTGCCCATGTAACTCTTGTCAGCCGAAAGCTTGACAAACGTGGTCGGCTGCAAGCCGAAAAACGTTCCGCTGAAGAAGCCGTACACCACAGTGACGGCAATAAGCGAAGCCTGGCTGTTCGTCGCCGCGAAGCAGAAAGCGGCAATAGACATGACGAAGACGGCGCTAGCAATCATGTTCATGATGCCAATGTAAGGCGCAAAGAAGTTGGGGACAATGCGCCCGACGATGGAAGCACCGTTGAGCATCGAGAGGAGGTAGAGCGCGACGTTCTCGCTGGCCATGTGGTTCTCGAGGGCGTAGGTCTGCACGTAGACGTACGGCGTGTACATGCCCAGGAAGAGCAGACAGCAGGCGCCAAGGAAGAGGAGGAACGGCAGGTCGTGGAAGACGGACTTGTCGACGAGCGGTCGCCGCTTGAGAGGGATCTTGAGCTTCGATGTCTTGATGACGAGGTTGGCTACGCCGAGGGTCACGAGCGCGATGAGCGCGAAGACAAGGACCGTCCATCGGAAGCCAATCTTGGGCTGGATTGCTCGAAACATGGCTGGTAGGACGAGACTGCGAAACGATGTTAGTCGACTCTATGTTCTAGCCTCACGCATCTCGAAGCGTCGCTTACCCGCCAACACCGCTGCCGTTTGCCGCGATGCCATTGGCAAGTGCCAGCCTAGTAGAGAACCATTGCGATGGGAGTGCGACTCCCAGGGTAGACAGACAGCCTGTTCCGAGGCCGATGATGAGACCCTGGCAGAGGAGGAACTGCCATAGGTTCTGGCAAAAGGCTTGGAGGATGAGCCCAATCAGCACCAGAATGGATCCTACCACGAGTAGGTATCGTGAGTAGCCTAGGTCGTAAATTGGGCCAATGATGAAACCCAAGAAGACCATAAGGAAATTCTGTAGAGAACCAATGGTTGAGATCTCAAAAGCGGTGTTATTGCTCAGGAGATCAGACTGGTAATAGGCCTGAAAGGCGCCGAAGCTTGAGACGAGACCTGAAATGGTACCCGGTCAGCGGACCACTTTCCCAGAGGACGTCGTCCCACGTTGGCGTTGCCGCTGCAACAGCATCTCACGATGGTTGCATCGCGTAAAACGCACGTCTGAAGATCGATCTTACTTACCCCATGTGTTGAAGTAGATGAAGAAAGACCCGAGGATGTGGAGCCATGCCTGCAAACCACCGTCAGGTCCAGCAGGGGTTGTTGTTGACTTCTCTGCAGTAGGTGATGCTTGAGACGATGTCGGGGGGCTGTCGCTGTTTGTGTTGTCTGTTGCGACGACGGAAGTATCTATCGCGGCCTCGCGTATGCTGTTGTCCTTCTCCGGGTCTCGTGGACCATCATTCGAAGTTGAAGCCATTGCCGGCTAAGCAGATCATCTGAACCCAATCCCGTCCTATGTGGGCGGCTCAGGGCGGGATGCCAAAGCTTATCCCAGCTTTAGATGGTCTGAAAGATTGCAATAGCCGCCTTCTTAGTGCACCAACGCGACAAAGTAGAGAACGAAAGAGAGTTTAAGTGATGAAAGAGGGTGTGTGAGTTAGCATCAATTGGACAATGCAGGGCCTGAGTCGAGAAACGCGGTTCAGCAGTAAGCAAAATACTCCCGAGCTACGTCTTCTTACGCTCATCTAAGCAAAAAATTGCGTTGTCAAAGGCCCCTTTTTTCCATGGGTTGTGGGGTTTGCCTTGGAACTTTTCTTCTTATTCAATCGACTGACTGATAAGATGAGCCGATGGTCTTGTATTGATTCAACCCACTTCCCTGTTCTTAATGCAACCTTTTATTGTTGATGTGATCGGGTCCCCCGACAGTACCCGCTCCGCGCCGCGGCTTCTGCAGGAGATCGCATCCAGACGTGGCACTTTGGCGGAACAGAATAAAGTTAAAACCTACGTGCGCTGCTGGAGAGATTCTTAACAGCTGGAATTGCTACCTCTTAGCAGTGAATGATGGCATAGTCAACTTTGTCACAGAACCTATGAGACGCGATTCAATCCTCTCTTTGCCTCCCAGTATGATGGCCAAAAATCATTGGATTGCGCTGGCGAAAGCGAGACCTCGGCCGGCGCCCGGGAAGGATCATCAGAGGTGCGGAATTCAAACCGGCGACAGCGCCAGTTTAGGCAGGCTAACCCACTGATCTGCCGCGCGCGTCGGGTCGCCACTGGGGCAGATTCCAGGGTTATGCTGGCCAGACGTGCCAGAATGCAACGGGTTTGACAACCTGCCAAAATGGGCTGACAACCCATCCATAGATCCAGCTGGATAGTTTTGCCCAATTTGGGTCAGAAACTGGGGCCGGATCTGACCATGTTTCGGCCGTTCTCCATTGACCATTGGTCGTGCGTTTTCGGCACTGGCCGTTGACTGCTCGATGTTGTCGTAACCAAATTGAGATGGTATTGAGGGAATGACGTACGGCCATCACTAATCGCAGTTGTGTTTAGGTTCAAAATAGCCATGGTAGGCATACGAGCTGGGCCGAATATGTTGATTTCTGAGGAGCTTTGCTCAGCCCTGCATGCGGTCTATTCCATCAAAATTTAGTTCAAAGATAGGACTACCTTACACCCAGCACAGCAACTCAATCAAAGTCGCGAGGGAAATGGCAGTTGCGGAAGAGGGAACAGGCTCAACCAACCCCACTAGGATGACTATGGCAAAGTCGCGACAACCTAGGGTTCAGGAAAGGCGAGTAGCTACTAACTTAATGCCCGCATTTACACTACGCAGAGCAACACCTAACGGTCGAAACTGTTCATCTTATTCATCATCGTGTCTGAAGACGTCATAATGCAATTACATCTTCAGGCTCGCTACTTGCTGTTCTATGATGGCGTTGTGTACGCACGGAGTTTACATGTAGTGACCATGCAATTCATTGGAGAAGACTCTTGTTCAAATGACTTGAGTTCCGGATAAATCATGTCCAAGATTTCTCGCAATTAAGACTGTGAGCACCAAGTGACCTATTGTCGTTTGTCGTCAAGAAGCTTCTAGAATTCTCAACTTCCTTGTGCTTACGCCCTAAGCTTGATCTGGACCCTTGATCGACTACGCTCACCTTGGATTACCTGGAACGCCTTATGTTGTTGCTGGAAAGGAATGTTCCAGTAGGAAAGAACAGCATTTACACTCTGTGGTTGGACGCGATCAAGAGCCTATGCATGGCCAATTGCTAGGTTGGCAACTTGTTGAAGTTGAGATGACAGTCGAAGGGCGTCGCTTAAGCAGGCAACAGCGTCTTACAACTTCTGCTGGCTTCTCCAATCGCTTGGTTCGCTCTTAGCGCGGGGAACTTGGACCATTGTGAAATTTACTCGACAGATATTTTGGAAGAACATCTGGTAAGTGTCAATAGCAGGCCCTTGGAGTAGTTGACGATTCGACACATATAAGTACTTAGGTGGAGGTACTAACTCGGAGAAACAGGAAATGACAAGAACAAAGCAAGCTCATTCGGGAACGGCACAGCCTTTACACTTAGCCTTCCCAACTTTCACAGTTCTGTTACAATGTCTTCAACATCAGTCTTATCGAAGACGCTTCAGTCCATTACCGACACCAAGATTCGCGAATTGGAGAAGCAGCGGACTCAATACGAGAGCCGTAAGACGAAGATCCTCGAGGAGGCCAAAGAATACGCCGACCAGGGCGGTCGTATCAGCTGTTTGCTTCACGGAGTCAAGGAGCTTTACTCAAAGGGACACAACGACGATCCGAGCATCGACAATATCGACAATTTACTGGCTCAGTCCAAATATGACACGTCGGTGCCTCCCTCGATATTGCAGGCGTCTGAGGACCTGTTGAGGTCCAAGCTCGACGTGCAAAGCCATAAGCTCAGCATGGCTCACCTGTACTCACGATTTGTCACCGAATGGATCAATCCTGGAAGTCCCATGGAGGGTACAGACGCCGCCCAGCTGTCGAAGGAAGACTCCTCATTCGAAGTCATCGACCACCAAAAGGAGCTTCTCCAGAACCTCCGTGACCAGTTCGAGAAGGTAGTGTTCACACCATTGGAGACCGACGAAGCGGAAATCAATGCCTATCTGGCCAGTATATTCAGCACAAGAGAGAGTGAAAAGGCGCTCGAGGATGTGCGGCAACGAGTCGCGCAATCAAGCAAGAACTTCCTCCAGAGAACGAGCCCGTTTAACAAGACCACGCTGAAGATGTGTATTGCCAGCCTCCTCCAGCAGGATCTCCTAAGCGACGAGAAGCAGGCGATCCTACGCGAGTTCGATTCCAACGATGTGGTACTACGGGAGATTGCCGATGTCTTGAACACGCGATTCGCCGACTTTGACAACTGGGAGTGGGACGCCGGCGAGGAGGGAGTATCGTACCTCCCGCGCCAGCAGGCCAATGGGAAGTACCGCATCTGGATGGACGAAGATGTGCTGCAGGTAATCTTCATCCACTGGGTCGGCATCAAGGGCTGCGTCAGTTTGAAGGAGACCCTAACGAGGCTCGTTTCTCTGGACGGACCCGACCAAGTCTGGAGGTGGCACGCCGAGTCACCCGCGACTGAGTGACAAAGCCAGAGGCGGGCGTATTATCTCGACACACCCACACAAATCTCTGATGAATCCTCGCGTTCAGCAACAACGGGGTGGACCAGGGGTACCAGGGGGCGCGGAAGGGGTGGAAGGCTGGCATCTATACGGAATCGCCAAGCCCGATCTTCCATCTCTGATGATACGGTTGCCGGTTTTCGCAGAAAGAACTTCATTAAGTACTTTTGCCTCGCCGCCCTGCCAAGCCAAGTCAATACGCTTAATGAGGGGATGTACGACGATGGAAGGATGTCAGAAGAGGATGATGACGACGACGCTGCTTCATCTGATTGGGGGAAGGCTAAGAAACCGACCTTGAACATCAAGCAATTCCTTCTGCGCACGATTGCAACCGAGACGATGATCCATCAAGCGCTTGATGGCAAAGTTGCCATAGTGCAGTCTGATCTCAAGTGGTTCGGGGCCGGCCTGTCTCATACGTCAATCTTTGCCACCCTCCGCTTCTTTGGGTTCCCAGAGAACATGGTTGCGTTCTACCGCAAGGTTCTCGAGACGCCGGTGAACCTGGGCTCGTCTTCCGATTCAGAGTCATCATCGACAGAGCCTCGCATCAGGCGAAGGGGTATGCCAATGAGTCGATCGCCAGCTAAGCTCATAGGAGAGTTGATCCTGTTTGTGATGGACTTTGCCGTCAATCAAGAGACGGGTCTACAACTGTACCGCCTACACGACGATCTCTGGGTTGCCGGCGACCCAGCGGATACTGCTAGGGCATGGACTGCCATGCAGCGTTTTGCTAAGGTCATGGGATTGGAGTTCAATCTGAAGAAGACTGGCTCGGTGTACTTGTCCGGCGAAGGAATCCCTCGGGATGAAACCATTGATGGAGAGTTGCCCAAGGGTCCTGTCAGCATCGGCCACCTCGTGCTCGACCCAGTGACTGGAAAATGGACCATTGACCAGGCGAACGTGGAGGAGCACGTGAAGCAGCTCCAGAAACAACTTGCTGAGTGCCGGAGTATCCTCGACTGGGTCCGCACATGGAACAGCTGCATCGGCCGCTTTTTCGGTCAGGCGTTTGGAGAGCCGGCTTACTGCCTGGGCAAGGAACACGTCGAGAGCGTCTTGCGAACCTACCAGAAGATGCAGCACGACATCTTTACGCCATATTCCACTGAGAAGGACAGCAACTCGGTTGCCAGCGCAACGAACAGCCAACTTAGCGCTGTCTACTACATCAAATCCAAGATTGAGCAGCGTTTCGGTGTTTCGGATGTGTCGGACGCCTTCATCTTCTTTCCGGACCAGCTAGGTGGCTTGGGACTCCAAAACCAGTTCATACCATTTCTCAAAGTCCAGAAACATCTATGTGGGGCAGGAGTGTCCCCAGAAGAGATGGTCCAGTACTTTTTCGATCGGGAACGCAAGGACTACGAGGACAAGAAAAGAACATTTGAGTCGACCAAGGCCACTGAGACGCGTGAGCTAGGGGATGATTACCTTGGCCGGTTAGACGGTCAATTTTTCAGCCCTGATGATGTGGAGACGTTCTTCACCTTCAAGGAATTCACCGAAAACAGAAGTACCACGAGCAGTCACTTGAGAGACCTCTACGAGCGTGTTCAGGGGACCCCACCTGCGCTGAGCCCCAAGGCTGACCGGCAGGTCTACCAGGCGTTGGAGGACTTGCCTATCCAATCGGCCAATTCGCGGTCTGAATTGCGGTGGATAATGCAGATGTATCATCAGGAGGCGAAAGATCGGTTCGATGGTCTAAGGCTTATTGAGGAGCGATTCTTACCGCTGGGCGTCATTGACATGATGAGGCAGAAGGCCGTGAGATGGGGCTTGGTTCTTTAGCAAAATACCTAACACGGAATTAGTCAATGAAGCATGAATGATGTGAAGTCCTTGCTACAATTATGTGAATCATGTCGCGCACATCATTCCTTTTGACTGCTGAGGTGGTCTCGCATGTATTAAGGTTGTGTTGAAGGAGTGTCTCATTTACAGAACCTTGGAGTCATCTACCTACTTATGGATACGTAGATCTTTGTCCTTGGCCTTATTAGTACGAAGTTCACTTGGACTAATGACTTTGCGCATCTTGCTTCTGGCTTTCATAGTGAATGTGGCCCAACACGACATCAAGTCCTCATACAAACTACTGGACGACAATAACGTATCAAGATGCAGTGATTCAGGGACTTCACTGAGACTGGATATAATCTTTGGCTATTTCTCAACAGAGGCTTGAAAGTCCCTTTCTTCCCCAGCTACGTATTAAACTCAAACCCCAGGACATCGCCCAAATTCGACTTCAAAGTCGGAAAGAAGCATTCATCACGCAGCCGAACAGAACTGTACTTTGGTCAAGTCAAGGCATCCGCCCACATTTGATTCAAGCAAATTACAAGACACAAGATCATGTGCAAACCAAAGCCCATCATAACTCCATACATGGACGGGACTTTGCTTCCTGCTACAGAAGACCGGCATCAGCGACGGCGCCTGCGCACCGGAGGGCTCAGCAACATTCGCCCGCTTAGATCGGCTTAGGATTATATCTTAAAACAAGACTGCCGCTTGAATTGGTCAAATATGGGCACAATCAGAGGCAACGAACTCATCGAGCTCCGATGTTAGCGACGTTCCGAGATTGAATAATCAGTCGAGGGAAATTGAGTCTTTAGAGGTTGCATCTCTTCAGCATGCTGACGGCATCCTCAGTTTAATTAGACGACACCAGACCTTTAAATATAATCAAAACTGAGTAGCAACTTCCTGACCCTATTGCATGCCGGTGACGTTGCAGGTGAATCACAGACGCGCTTTTTCAAAACCAGTGAACAAAATGAGCTCCAAGATTCCAGTCATTAGACTAGCAGATTCTACGTGTATGATTATTTACATCTATGCAAGCTGGCAGTCATATCGGCGACCCAATGTTTGATTTACTTCCTCGGGTCCCAATTAGCATCAACATCGTCAAGAAGGTTCATAGTCTTGATCATATCGGCCCCGAGAATCTTCTCCAAGCTCACCAGCTTAAAGCTAGCTTCGGTGCTGGTGCTACCATCAGGCAGTTGGTTCGCATCATCGTGAGTAACAAACAATCCGTGAGGAAAGTCCTTTCCGAGGTGTGTTCCCACCGCAGTGATGCCGTCGGTGTTCGAAACAGCATCGATCTGGCCATCTGACGACTTGGGGATTGTGAAAGTCGTCACGTAGTAGTGAGGATCTGCCCGGGTGTACACGTTGTAAGAACTGATGCCCTGATTGGACACGAGGATGTATCCTTGATCAGGTCTGACGCCGTAGACGAGGGTAACGCCCTCCACGTCGGCGAAGGTTTGGCCGTCGCCCACGAAAGCAATTTGAATGGCATCATCATCCGACGAGTCAGGCTCGGCACCGTAGCGCCACAGCGCAGAAGGCTCCTCACCAAGAAAGATCCAGCCATTTTCCTCGTCCGTTACACAGCCTTCGACTTGGCCCCCTGCACCGCCTGTGAAGTCGCGGACGAGAGTGGTCTGAAGAGTCCCGTTCGAATTGGACGTCAGCTCGTATTGGAGATAACGGGCGGACTTCTCGTTGACGAAGAGGTACTGCTTGCCGCTCGTGGGAGACTTGTACACACAGGAACCATAGACTTTGTAGTCTTCCGGCACAGGCTGGATACCGCCGGGGATGTCCTTCAGAGTTCCATTTGATGTCATCTCGAAAATGCTTGGAATATGTCAGTAACTTTTCAGGTAACTCGGGACGCCCGACTCACCAAAGTGTATCGTCGCCACGGCAAGCAGCAAAAGCGAGGTCGACAGTCCTGTTTCCAGCCTGGAAGCCGTAAATCATATCAACGTTGTTAGGTTCCGCCGCCGGCAGAGTCTGAAGCAGCTTCCCCTTCAGGTCGAAAACACCTAAGCCTGCACCCTCGGTAGACTTGGTCGTAGTAATGATGCGGGACTTCTCGGCTGATCCTGGCGATATCCAGATGGCGGGGTCATCTCCATCGCCGCCATTTTGGTCGGTTTCGTAAGAAGCCTCAACCAACACAGCCGAGCAGAAGAGACCTCCCCATCCATTCTCGCATTTGCATTGTTGTGGCCCAACACACTCGCCATGTCCAGAGCAGTTATTCATGCACTGGATCTGATCGCACTTGTCGCCAGTGAAACCAGCGAAGCAACCGCATCCGAGGGCGTTCTCCTGACAGTAGCCGTTGGAGGAACAGGCGTCGCAAATCGGGGAGCGAGTACGGCTTTCAGTCTGATTCCGAGGGTCATACGCAGTGTTGACATCTATCCCGAGGTCATCGAGAGCTCCATCCAGAGACACCAGCCCAAACCCGGCAACGTTATCCGCTTCAACAGCAAAGCCAAGAGCGCCGCTGGGGTACTTTGAGGTCGATCCCTGGTAGATGCTGAGGCCCTGGACTTCGATATCCTCCAGGCCACTCAGTTTGATGTTGCCGAGCAGGTCGAACGGGTACTTGTAGACAGCAACGCTACTTTCTTGGGCGACAAACAGGTATTCAGTGCCAGTAGAATTCGAGAAATACGTTGCAATACCAGTCACATCTTGTGCAGCCTCGCCAAGCTTGGTGATTTCTGGGGCAATAGTCGATTCTTTGAGATCGAAAACGTAAACATCCTTGTCATCGTCGGCATTGACAACCATCTTAGCCTGAGATTGCACTACCGCACAGCCAGAGAATTCCGTTGGGACCGGGATGCTTTGAACCTGGTCCAGTCAGTAAGAACCAAGTTGAGAAACTGAAGCCGGGCTCTATCACCTCCACCAGTTCAATGGAGTCCTTGGCTGGGCGAACTAGATACTGCACCACCACGGTCTTACCGAAAAGAAATACATAGTCGTTCAGACTCTTGGTGCGCCACGAGCACATTGCCGCCCAATCTCCAAGCATCGTCACTTGGGCTGATTCAATTTCCGTAAACCCCGGCATCTCGTAGACGCGAATGATGGAGTCCGGCATCGCAATCGTAAGCGCATAGTCTTTCCCCGTGACATTGTAGACCGTCGTGATGAGCTTTGTTCGACCGGTGGTCATGGACTTGACCTCGGCCAGTGGCGAGTCGCTGTTCAAATCCCAAGCGTGAAACCCTCCCGTGGCAGCACCTCCATCGTTTCCCAGAAGTAGAGGCTTCTCTTTTGAGTAGAATACGTTTGTCCAATCCGCTTCGAGTTCGCCACCGGTCAGGGCAGTCATGTTGGCCTCGACATCAACCTTGGAGGCGGCCGTGGCTAGCCAAGGATGTGTCGCGACGGCGGCGATGGCCGCGGCGCAAGCGAGGTACTTGAGGCCCATGGCGGTTAGGTCAAGTCGGAAGATGTCTGCCTGACATGACAAGACATGCAAGCTGAAGGCTCGCCTTATGAGGAGAAACTGTCCATTTATCATGTCGTCTTATTGCACCCCCTCCAAGCGGGCGGACAGCGGAGGAGCAGGTGGCCCCACGTCCACAAGGCCGGGATCGCAATGCAAGTTCAGCCCCTCCAGGTCCCCTTCATGGATGAGAGACCAGGCCACGACCTTTACCGAATCTGCTTTCAGTTTGGCAATTCGAAGGACGAATCCTGCGTCAATACTGTGGGTGATGGAACACTGATGGTTCCCTTCGGAATCCCCTTCGGGTGAAACGCGTGCATGAAAGGGAAGAAACAATTGGTGGACGCGACGGGACGAAGAATCCTTGAAGCTTCCACTTTTGGAGTCGTCCGTCTTGGCATTGGATCACCGTTGTAGTCCAAGGTGAAGTCATAGGTCTGAACGAGGAGCTGGTTGAGAGAAACTCGACTCTTTTGATTCTGTCAGAAAAGTCAAATGCCATGCGTCCCACTATTCGTTATACTTTAATTGTACAGTGACATCGGGGGGGACTTCCGAGGTTGACAATGGGTTTCCGTTTTCTGTCCTTCACAACTTTACAATTGGCTCGTGTTCAATGCTGAGCCAAATTAGCCCGCTCTGATCCCGTCGCGGGCTTCAGACGCCAAGTCCCACATTGTCATTATTCGTTTGGACTTCTCGATGCATATGAAATTTTACTGGACGCAGCCTGGCTAAATAAAGCGTTGTTCCATCTCTTGAATGACAATTTTGAACTTCCAAGAGCGCATGCAAATGAGCTGGATTTGCCGCGGTTGCTTCCACTTTGCTGGGTGAGCACAGACTGCATTCGGTTTCTTGCTTGGCTTCATTGTCTGCCCATTGACTTTTACTCCTGGCGCTCATTTTTTCTTTCCTGAATACAGGAGTCGCCTGAAAGATCGTAGACATTGCCTATATCTTCAACTCCAGATAGCATTACGGGACAACGCTTAAAATACTAGCCACACTCGGACAACCAAAGCTTGCATTTTATTCATGGCCCGCGGAAGAGGAAAACAGGGACTAGGTGCTCTGGGCTTGAAGACCTTGGAATGATCACATCAAGCAGACTTAATCAGCCTCAGTCGGCGGCATTGGCCGCCTCCCTGTTCTCTCTGGTAAGTAATTTGCAACGGCAATAGCCTGTAAATGATTTCATGACAGGAGTAGGAGAGAAGCATGAAGTTTGAATGAAATGGCATTGGTGCGCTCGATTCCACCGAGGTTGTATGTTCAATGCATCTAAAGGTATCTGAAGTTCTATCATACAATAAAGAAATTTGAAACGGTAGTTCTGAAAATCCCGCGTCAGGTCCGTCGGCTAATGTACCTTACGAAGAGGGAGCAGCGGTGCCGGAAGGAGGGCTGCCGCTCATGGTGCCGTTGCCACCGGGACCGCCGGAGCCACCGCCGCCGCCGCCGACAGTCTGGCCGGTGGAGTGACCACCATCCTCATCAAAGTAGCCGGCAATGTTGTAGTAGTCGTCATCGGTGTAGTCAGCAGAGGCGTTGACACCGATCTGGATCCAGGCGAAGAGACCGTCCTGGAGGTCGTCGCTCAGGTAGACGAACTGGGGGAAGGGGTCGTAGGAGGCATCGGCCTGGAGGATAGACCACATGTCGTCGGCGTTGGAGGTGATGCTCTGCTCGTTGGTGTTGTAGGGGTAGAGCTCCTCGACGGCGGAACGGATGGTCTCGGGCCAGAAGACCTGGCCGATGTGGCTGACGGGAGCATTCCAGACGGAGATGGTGCCGTTGGGCATCAGGGTCGCGTTGGTGTGCGAGAGCAAATGGGTGTGGGTGGCGCGGCCATCGTAGTGGCCGGGGAAGATGGTCTCGAACTGGGCGACACCATCGGCGTCGGTGAGCTGGATACCGCGGAGGAACGTGCTGTTCATGCCGTCGGCGGCGTAGTTGCCGTTGGTGGAGATGCCGGAGTAGATACCGGTGGCGTTGCAGTTCCAGATGTCGACGGCGACCTGAGGGATGGGGTCGCAGGTGGCGACGTCGACGTACTGGACCTCGAGGAAGACGGGAACACCATCGCACCACTTTTGCTCAATAACATTGGAGCGCATGTTCTCGCCGACGATGTAGTAGGGGCCGTCGGTAATCTCGGGAGCCAAGACGCAGGAGGTGTTGGCGCTGAAGACATCCTCGAGGGGTGTGAAGATGCCGTTGTCGCTGGAGGCGGTCATGTTGTGGTTAACGGCCTCCCAGGCGGTGAGCTCGTCCGCATCACGGCGATACTTGCGGGCAGCTATGGAAAGGTCAATGAATGTTCGGTCAAGTGTCTCGAACAAGAGTAGTTACTTACGGGTCTTGAGGCCCTTGGCGGCGCGGATGTCCTTGACCTTCTGGGCACGGCGCTCAACGGCGCGCTTCTTCATAGCCTGAGCACCGGCGGTGTTGGAGCAGGCGTTAAGGGAGCGCTGGCCGATGGCAGCGACGTTGTCACGGAGCTGGATGTTGCGCTTCATGTGATCATGGCTGTGGTGCTCGCCGGGGTGGGCAGAGACGCAGCCGGCGAGGGCGAGGCCGGCGGCCGAAAGGGCAGAGATGCGAACCATTGTTGATATTGTCGTAGTAATACCGGGCTTGTAGCGAATGTTGGAAACGATTGTGAGTGTCTTTGTTGTAGAAGCGACTGTTGTTGCTGCGGTGGTTGCGGCTGATGGTGCTTCCAATTTCTTAGATGTCCGGCTCCGAGAGCAGTCTTTATACAACTCGATCTTCGTTCAACATCTCCGCCATCTATCCCTATCAACGCGTTCATCTCTACGTGATGTGGACAGCCGATGGGGACTTCGCTCTCATCCGATCCCCCTACATGGGGAGCCCTCGTCACCTCCAGTTCCGCCTGCCATTTTCGACTCTTCCATCGAGAGTCCGCGGTCCATCGTCTGAACATCCGTCCAACCAGGACCGCGCAAAAGGTCATACGCTACCCGTTGCCGTCGTGGCACGCAGGGGTTCCGTACTTCTGAGCCTCACATACACGACTTCGTTCCCCGCCGGGGGCGCATTCTCAACTTTTCGAGTCAATGCGTCTCCACGCCGGTGCCTGTCCTTAAGCATCCTTGACGTTCTTAACTCAGCCTCAGAGCACACGCCAAGCGGTTAAGAAATGCTTGGAGAAGCTTGAGATGGAAAGAAGGTGGTTCTAAAGCGGAACCCGGGGTCGATCCGGAGTGGGGACTTGTCCGGGAGCCAGCTTCGGGCCTCCCACATCCCGCTTCATCGTTGGGGTTCCCGATGTTGGCGGAAAGGCTTCCCAAGTTTGGTTCCATGACATTTGGGGCCTTCTCAGGTAAAAGTTCCCAGGGGCACCGGATGACGAGGCCACTCTCCACTTGGCGGGTGGCGCCGCTGCGCGTTTGCGCAAGCTTCAATAAGATTGGACTAAATTCCGCTGACTTGAACAAAACATGCTCGACGGAGCTCGGGAGACAGTGGGCTTCAGCGGAGAGACCTTGTCAAGCTTGTTTATTTCCCTTGGCCACATCGGTCTGTGGGAGGGCTTTGGAAAGGGGCGGAGAAGGCTCTCGCGGGGCCCGAATTTTTCTTCCCTTTTGGTCTCCTGTGCATCAGTCAATGCGGAACACTGGCGGAATAGATGAATAACATGGAAAAGGGACCAGAGAGAAAAACATTTCTGAAATATCGACATACAGCTCGATTGACTTTTGACTTTGAACCATCTTCGTCATTGAGCAGACGAGCTGAGCGTGCGTGCGTGGTGTGGAGCAGAAAATCTCCCACACTGAAAGAGAGTGTCGGAACTTTTAGGCCTTGCGTACCTTTATTCAGGGGGGTTCATCTTGTCTCAACGTCCCGCGGCTCAGCCTATGTAAACCAAACAAACATGAATCGTCCAGCGAAGTCTACTTCCCTGTGCCCGGATTCACCGACACAGCGACACGTTGGCCGGGATCCCTAATTCTAAGACGAGACGAAATGGACCTATCTGGGCGCAGTCAATCAATATGATTTGCCGTCATTGGCTGTCGGGTCAGTCGTGACCCTCAACCGCAGTCGAGGCCTTGAGGGGGGGAGGGGTGTTCAGAGTCGTCACTCGACGCGTGTCAGTCGTGACTTGTCTAATTCCGGGTAAGGGCGCCCATTCATTCGTAATGCGACACCACAAATGACAACCGCACATTGGCTTCTCTTCTTCTTAACTCGGTCTCCAGCAAAACGGCATGCACCGTTGGATCTAAACCTTTTTGGTCACATCTGGAAAGACTCACCGGACAACCTCACACAGAGAGCCTGGAGGCGAGGCCGAGGCTCTCGTCGGACTCCAGAGAGCAAGGCGAAGAAAAACTTGCGCACAGCCAATTTCTGTTTTGATTTGGATCGGCAAATCGAATAACCACTGTTACTTTTTTGGCGATTCCACACTCGGATATCGAGTTGATACCGGCTACCGGTCACAAGTTTTCACCTGGTATTATTATCTGAGGTATCCTACTGACACTACCGTTCATCCGTCCGTTAGGAACAGAATATCATTCATCTTTTTCCCCAGATTGATGCAGTCGAGAACTCACTGGCTTCCGAGCCCCGACTAAGACTCCCAGACCTCCGCAGACATACTTGACTGATGTGAGCTAAATGTATTTTTCAGGATTGAGACGGTTCACGAGTGACCGATCCCAGACCAAGCTGAGCAGCCTATCCTTTTCCGTTTCAGCCACTCATTCTCAACTTGCCTCCGAAACTGTGGCACACATATACAACACCGCATTCATGATTGAGCTCTCAGGTCACATCTCCCAGTATGTAACCACCCCGAGCAAACAAAAAAAGGATTGGCACGACCGATACATTCACTCCAAAAACTCTCTACTCGCCGTGTTGTTGACAACAACTACGAAGTCATATACAGGTACCGAAGTCACATGAACCGTCTTACTCTTGTTGCAGCCTCGACC